AATTTCTGATCTGAGACCTAATCCGCGATTTGCGATGGTGATGACAAGGATCCATGTACCTTATTATTGAGCCTTCGTCCTTCACCGTGCTTAAGGCACAGCCTACAATCCAACACAACCACTACCACTCACGACAGCGCCTGTGGCTCACCGGAATCCTCTGCAACAGGATGTCATGCCAGCGTAATGCTTGCAATATGGGCAGCAGCGGTCGAGGCCTCGGTGCAGCTCCAATGCGAGACGCCTCGGAACCGCCAATCTGCGACCACGTTGAGCTGCGCAGCTTTCAAGCATGTCAGGGTCTGCCGACATATGCGCTCTATTGGCTCAATAGGTAAAGATGCGCTGCCGAGCTTTCAGCTTACGAGGGTGGCTTCTTGCTATTGGTGTAGCCAGCATATACAGTGTTTCCACCCCTCCCATGCCAACACATCCTAGTGTCGCATCCGTTGGGCCCGGGGTTGCAGTAGTCGAATCCCGAGTGATGTTACCTACACCGTGTACGTATAACAAACACTGCCGGTAATCGCGCTATGATCTGTCCACCTTTGATTGAGCGTATGGTGCGGCTATCCGCTGATAGCCAAGGCATCCATCGCTCTCACTCACTCACCATGTCTACGATTCCCGGGAATTCTTAGGTTCATTAGATGGCTCCCGCATCGAGATCTAGCTCACCGCTAAGGACAACTTGACTTTGCCTGTTACGAATATGACACATCCGCTGCCGGGCCGTTCGCTTGTCACACGCAGGTAGTGAAGAGCTAGAGCGCTTGGAGAACAGCGTACTGCACTGTGCATGACTAGGTCGGCGTCTCTACCGTAGCCTCATGGCGTGCCTTGGTGAAGACACTGTGACTGCACATCGGTTTAGTGCCGTATGTTGTATGAGTGATCAGCTGGATCCACAGAGGCCTTCATAACGGGCGTACATATTGCATGAATATGCAGCTAGTCGGCCCATCATATGTTAGGGGGACTACGCAATCCGTAGCGCCTAGCTCGCTTCTGAATACAATACGATCGTTTGTACTCAGCCTTGCGGCGCGTCCCAGACTTGATCGCTTGCATCATGTCAAAAATCGAGCGGCTCGGCTATGACAACTCATGGGAAGTCGGCAAGAGGCATGATGTCGTTTTACAGACACGGGGCCCTGTAATCACACACGTGGGTCGTGTGGGGTCGGATCAATCTCTGTATCGGGCCTGTGTGTATTCCTCAAGGGATTTTCACCCTGACAGTGCTGCGTTCGCAGGTGGCTTTCGTGCGACGGGCGGACAGGGGAGCGTAAACGTCGTCGGGGCGTTGATAGCGACCCAGACCTGGCTATGCTTTCCGTGAGCAACCAAACCTCCGAATGCTATACTTTCGATATAAAGAAGGATTGCTGGGTTGATGAGTGCCTGTTCGCAATGTCAGCTAAGCTGAGTATGCTTGACGCCAGAACTGACCTTCTATGGCACACTGTCTGATGGGCGGCTTGCCGAATTGTTGCGATACACGTGAGCTCAGATGGTGTACAACTAAATTGCGGCACAGGCTGAAGAGGGAGTTCCGCCCATCCTCACTAGCGTGTAGTCGGTGAAGTAGAGGCATGTTCCGCGCTTGGAATGTGGCGCATGGGCCGGACAAGGTCGCCCAGCCCTGAGCATGTATCTCTCGGTAATTCGTATGGGTCGGCTGTGAGCACTGGTGGTCAGCGCGTGACAGCAAACCATGGCCACTTTCAAAGCGCCTCAATATTGCGCCTGAAAAATGAGTTTCTCTTTCGAAGGGATGCTTTTCGTGCAGGATTTGGCACGATCACCAGGATTTGTTGCGTTCACTGTAGTGTACTCGAATGCTGAGCTCTTCGAATGCGTGATAGCTCCATCTCCCCCAAGCTCATCCACGCTCCAGAATCTAGAGCATTCGCCAACATACATTGATGAGAAGCCGCGACTGTGGCCATAGAATGGAATCGTTGGTACTCATCGCTCCGGGAGATCTTACCGCGCCCAGCGGATGAGATCCCGAAGGCACGTCGTTGAGCTTGCGGGCCAGCACGGCAGGGCTTGCTCGCTTGAGGCTGTATGGGCATGGAGAAGAGCGCAGATGGCGACAGTGACGACATGGTGTTCCAATGGGGAGGTCTCGTCCACGGCGCCTGATCGGTGAGCGAAAGCTGGAGTGAAACACGAGGTGGGGACAGGGATGCCGGATCGAGACTTTCGCAATTTTCGTGATGCTTCATGGCTGCGCCCCTATGTGAAAGGGCTATCGACGATCCATGAGGAGTAGTTAGGTAGGATGTTAGGTTTCCTTACAGGTGTAGCGACCTCGCCCTTGCTCACTTTTGCTGTTAGCTCGTCGTTAGTGGCCAATGAACTTCAAAGGGGGTCGAAATCATTTGCGTCTGCAGGGATGAGAGCACATGGCCTTTTCATGCACGTCACAAGCGCTACAAGCACTAGCTCCGGCGCACGCCCATAAATATTATCAGGATGGCCCCAACGCGCGAGCATTTCCAGTCTCAGAAATGGGAACGCCTGGTTCGGCTATGTCTTCTCTACGACACACGACACTCACCAGATATCTTTCTCCGCACCTGCGCACCAATTTCCACTGGTGCAGTACCCACATAAGGCTATACGCATGAATTCTTGCCAATGTTCGGTCTTTCCAATGAAGAGTTAGTGTCTGGCAGGACAGGACAGGGTATGTTATCGCTTGTATCTCATCAGCTGAAACAGTAGACCATGATTATACTTTCTGAACGATCTATCACGCAAGCTGCTAGGGAGTGCGAGCCTGAGCCACTCCCAACATGGATTCGGATATTATACTTCTCTTTGGATATCATATTCATTGCCTCGGGAGATCTGAGCCCATCTCGGCTTCATGTCGGCTCTGCAGCATGCAGAAGTACACACCCGGTACTGTGAATGTGGACCTGGGTCCAATATCTGAAGACCTGATGTGGGTATGCGTCGGTCTGGACCGCGATGGATCTTTCAAAAGGAATGAGGGGGTGTGAGGAACGACGAAGACTCCGGACGTACGGCAGATTTGGGTTAAACTGGTGTAGGATCCAACTGCCCTGGACCCTACCAATCCCTTTGTACGCGTACGACTACTGTACCTAGGTGTGCATTCGATAGTCAGAACCAGTATGTTGGCATCGCGAAGTGCGTCTTGCTGTCGACAACCACACGGACCGAGATAAATCTCCCAAATACGACTTGGACAGGGAACAGGGACTCACAACTAGATAGCAAGGACAGATTAGTATCCAGACATGTAAGATGTAGCCTCACTGTCATCTATTCATCTCAGTATGATTACTCATAGATTTCCCAAAGGCGGTTGAACGCAATCACCACCTATCGTAGCTATTCCTATAGACTTGATAGGTGTTTGTTCTATGTCAGATGACGTCATATTCTGCCCAGGCTGGCTTCGAGCATCAAATATTTGTACCGACCATCCAGCCGCAGTCGGCCCTGTAAATATTTGGATTCACCATACCTAGGTACTGCTGAAGTTGATCAACGCTCTACCTACCAACATTCGAGGATATAACGGAAATAACTATTGATTTTCAGCGTAGACGTCACTACCGCGTATGATGCAATGATGGAACTTCAAATATCTACCCACAAAACAAAAGCAACACAGATAGGCACAATACGCCGAACAAGAGTTAGACCGTAAAAACACCTTCAGCAAACTCCACAATGCCGCCATCAGGTCTCGCAATTCTCATCGGAGCCGGACCCGCTACTGTAAGTCGTCTTGCAGGCCCCGCACCGAACACACGCGTCTAATGAAACACGTCTAGGGAACAGGAATAGCACGCATCCTCTCATCACCCGCCCATGGCAACCTCGCCGTCGCACTCTTAGCCCGACGCCCCGAAAATCTCCAAAGCGTCATCTCTACAGTCCGCTCCGCCAACGAAAATGCGGTTCTCGAGGCCTTCCCAAGCGACACTTCGAAAGCATCTCTAGAGAAGGCGTTCGCAGACATCAAAGCACACGAGAGCTTCAAGGGGCTGAACCTGAAGCTGGCGATATACAGTATCAAGCATTCAAGCAAGAAGCCGTTCTTGGAAGAGACGAGGGAAGACTTTGAGGAAAGTCTGGAGACGTATGTTGGAGGGGCTTTTACGTTTGCGCAGGAGAGTTTGAAGAGATTCTTTGCGGATCATGGTGAGACGGGCTTGATGGATGGAGGGGAGAAGAAGGGCGTAAGCAGAATCGTCATCACCAGCTCGTTGCATGCAATACTGATTCTTGACAACAGACACTTATCTTCACTGGCACGCTCGGCGCGCTTCGATGCAGTGCCCAATTCGCCGCATATGGCGCTGGACGTGCCTCTGTCCGTCAATTAGCGCAGACACTGGCCCGTGAGATGAGCGAGAAGGGCGTGCATGTCGTACATACGATCGGCAATGGTGCGATTGCAGATGAAGACGGAGAAGACCAGAAGGTGGGCAAGAAGATGAGCGCCGATGCTGTTGGTGAGACGTATCTTTGGCTGCATCAACAGAAGCCTTGCTTGTGGACACATGAGCTCGATATGAGGCCCGCTTGCGAGAAGTTTTAGAGGTATTACCGGAGCCCTTGCTTTTGCAACCCGCGAAGTCTATAATAGAGGCAAGAGCGACTGCATTCAGGATCGAGAGAAAGGCTATATAAATGTAGGGATATGCATGTTTGATCACACGAGGAAGAATTGGGAACCAGAATCGGGTCACTCTCTGTCTCATTTGTCTTGCGTCCGTGACTGGTGCAGCCCTTTGTGCGCTTAGAGAGGCGCTCATGCTAGACTCACTGCATCATGTATTCGGGTCATACTTAGCCTCGGAGTGGTCCGTTGTTTGTTTTGCCATTGTCTCGGATGCAGTAGAGAGTGGTGTGGGGGTTGAAGTACAGCTTGCGCGGATGAGTAACATCATTCGGGCATGTGTAGGTCAGGCCACTTGGCACGGTGTCGATATACTGCCAACGCAGTCATGCCAGACTATGGTGTGTCAACCGATGTATTGGAATAGATATGGTATATATTTTCCATCAATGAAACTGTCCGCCAGCAGTACCATTTTGGGGTGTGATGCATCGTCAGCTTTTGCCCTTGCGTTCCGCGAGCGCTTTGAGATCTGCGATTTGCTTTCGCCTCTTGATCTCCCTTGAACTCCTTCCTGTGGATGATGCTGCATGTGTGACAACAGGTTTCGAAAGCCCAACCAGCCCCGCACATGCATTACTGATGAACCACGTCCACATAGTCTTCGCATACCGTGGTCTCTTCAAAATGGCGAAGTCCATCTCCCATGCAACACGATCATCTGCATTTACTAGTGGGATCGTAGTCTGGCTGAGGACTTACTTGAAGACCGGTCTTGTGTCGTGCGCGAACAAGAAGCCCGAGGTCTCGCAGACCGAAACTGGTGAGCAAGAAATCGACTTCTGGAAGTTCTTCCTCTTTGCGCGAAATTGAGCATTCTATTTTTTGGTACCTCATGCAAGGAAGAAACTGAGCAGATGCGCTGCAGTCTATTTTAGTGTAAAATAACTGAACCTTAGCCAGCTCCTAAAGAGAACGAAGACTTGTATGTTATCTACTTCTGAATCCTGTTTAGTGTTTCCATGAAACAATGCGAGTACTCTGAATGGAGAAGAAATGGAAGACTGCGCTCGAGTGAGGTGTGGGTCCACAACGGGGTTCTTCGGCACGGCCTTGATGACGTTCCGCGCGGGCGCTGACGTTAATTCCATTGATCCAAGCTTGCCTAGCCAAAATCTGCGACAACACACCACAACATTGAGCAGCACAGCAGAGCGTGCTCGACAACCACCCATCCAACTAAATCACCCCAACAGATTTGGAAAAGATGGCGCCAGTAAACACGCCCGTACCACAGGGAATCCCCTCGCCGCCACCTGTCCGAATTGCCGTCGACACGAACAACTCGCTATGGGATCGGTTGAGCAATTGGGCTTCAGAGAACAAGGGTGTCGTATACACGATTGCGGGTATAACACTGGTTGTCGGTGCTGGTGGGGCTGTCTACTACTTCTCCAATGATTCAAGAGACAGCGCGGCAGACACAGCGGCGACCAAGCGCAAGAGGCAACGCGAGCGCAAGCGCGCAAAGGAGAGGGCCGAGAAGGACTCGGCGCCAGAGAAGTCTGCAGAGTCTGGTAGGTCGATACAACCCTCTGACAAGGACGTGCACTGATGAGAAAATAGAGAAGAAGGCATCTGTAGCGGAAACAACCGAAGACAAGCTCCCAGAGGTTGACGAGAACAGCGTGGGCTCACTCTCAGACGAGGTGCGACACATCTCCCGTCAAATCACCCTCAAAGGCGATGACTGACGATTCGTAGGACCGCAAGGACTATGCCGCGAAACTCAAGGCTGCAGGCAACAAGGCCTACGGGTCCAAGGACTACAACCGCGCCATCGACCTCTACGGCAAGGCCATCCTCTGCAAGCAAGACCCCGTCTTCTATTCGAACCGCGCCGCCTGCTACAATGCCATGTCTGAGTGGGACAAGGTCATTGAGGACACGACCGCCGCCATCAACCTCGACAACGAATACGTAAAGGCGCTGAACCGACGAGCGAACGCATACGAGCAGGTCGAGCGCAACAGCGAGGCCCTCCTCGACTACACTGCAAGCTGCATCATCGATGGCTTCCGCAACGAGAGCAGCGCACAGAGCGTCGAGCGTCTGCTTAAGAAGGTCGCCGACGCCAAGGGCAAGGCCATTCTCGCCTCCAAGGAGAAGAAGCTGCCCAGCCCGACTTTCGTCACAAACTACCTCCAGAGCTTCCGACCGAAGCCAACACCAGAGGGCCTCGAGGACGACGCCGAGCTTGATGAGGAGAGCGGAAAGGGCCAGTTGCGCAAGGGTCTGAAGGCCATGGCCACCAAGACCGGCGATGGATACACGGAAGCTGCCGCAGCTTTCGACCGCGCAGTCGAGCTCGGAGACCTTGGTGAGCACGAGGCTTTCGCGTATAACATGCGCGGAACCTTTAGCTACCTCAAGGGCGACAACGAAGACGCGCTCAAGGACATGGACAAGAGCATCGAGCTCCAGCCCACACTAACACAGAGCTTCATCAAGCGCGCGAGCATGCACCTTGAGCTCGCCAACCCCGAAGCCGCCGAAGCCGACTTCGCCGCCGCCCTCGAACAGAACTCCAGCGACCCCGACATCTTCTACCACCGCGCACAACTACACTTCATCAAGTCCGAGTTCGGCGAGGCCGCAAAGGACTACCAGAAGTCCATCGACCTCGACAAGGACTTCATCTTCTCGCACATCCAACTCGGTGTCACACAATACAAGATGGGCAGCATCGCCTCGTCAATGGCTACATTCCGCCGCTGCATGAAGAACTTCTCCCAAGTCCCCGACGTATACAACTACTACGGAGAACTGCTGCTCGACCAGCAAAAGTACCAGGAAGCCATCGAGAAGTTCGATACCGCTGTCGAGATGGAGAAGACGAGCAAGCCCCTCGGCATGAACGTCCTGCCCCTCATCAACAAGGCGCTCGCGCTATTCCAATGGAAGAACGACTTCGACGACGCCGAGAAGCTGTGCGAGAAGGCTCTCATCATCGACCCCGAATGCGACATCGCTGTCGCAACCATGGCACAGCTGCTGCTGCAACAAGGGAAGGTCACAGAGGCGCTCAAGTACTTTGAGCGCGCAGCCGAGCTGTCTAGGACAGAAGGCGAGATCGTCAACGCTCTCAGCTACGCCGAGGCAACCAGGACACAACTTGAGGTAAGCCACATGATCTTCACTTCACACCGAACCAAATGCTAACTCTCTCTACTAGGTGCAAGAAAAGTACCCCAAGCTCGCTTCGAGACTAGGTGCCATGGGCGCAGCTGGCGGTGGCTTCGGCGGCATGCGATAAACACCCTCCTTCTTTTCTTCCTTCCATCAAACCATGATACACACCTTTTCTCCACCCCCCCCCCCCTCTTCTACGCTCTTCTCACCCCTTTGTTCCAAAATGATGTATTTAGTATTGGGCACTCCGAGTGTGCGGAACTGCAGAAGGTTGGAAAGCTCCTTCATGAAATGAGTTGGCCGAGGGAGCAATGGAATATGCGTCAAAGAGACTAACAACAACGGGCGTTTATTTTGATGTGATAGCTCTCCTGCTCCTGGTGGTTGTGTAGTTGTAAATGTATGAATGGTTGTTGATGTACGATGATTATTGTTATTGCTCTCGAGACAAATGTGCTGTTTACTAGAGAAACGACATGTATGATCTAACAAGATATATTGAGTGTACTTATACTACACTGGTATCAAAGCCTCATCCGTACATTTGCCCTCTATAAGCGATCTATACGTTCACGGAACCTGTGCTATGCATATCCCGTCGTTCCAACAACGCCACCTCTATCCGTGCCATGACATGGCCGGTGACTTACTCCCCGCTCAGCTGCAGAATAAGGGTACTAGCGACGTCCAAGAAAGGAAAGGGGCTAGTGACAATCTTCTCTCCCTCCTGCCGGCCAGCACCAACAAGCTCCGTTCGCTCTCGTAGGATGTCCGTTCCTCCCTCGCGAAGCTTATTCGCCAGGTCCTCGGGTAGCGGCTCACCCTCACCCAGTCTGCGCCAGATACCTTGCTCGTCATCCCATCCGTCTTGATGCGGGTTCTGGTGGCTTGAGGAGAGTGCGAATGTGTCAAGGGAGGGGGTCGCTTTGATTTCGCGGACGAGGTTAGACACGAGACGTTCGTAGCCGGCGCATTTGAAGTCTACGACGAAGAAATCGCGGTCGATACTGTACAGTTGAATGGACATGTAGATCCAGACTGCCTCGTCAGGGTAGGGGTGTTCTTCGCTGATGGAGTTTGCACGCTCAGATGGAGTCAGGCCTTCTATGCCGTGACTGATACTTGATGCACTTGCGTTGGTGGAACTGCGCCTGCGAAGCCCCGAGGGGTCGTTGGCGAGATCGACACGCGACGAGTGCGTGGAAGACGGATGTGCGACACCGGGTGGGAACATGCCTTCTTTGCGGAAGCGGGCGTTGATGACCCATGGATCTTCTGGCACGTGGTAGCCCCAGTCGTTGGTGTGGTTGTAGTGCCTCTTCTGTCGACCTCTCGTCTCCTGCTCATTCGTGTCCTTGTTACGTACGGTAAGCGGCTCACGATGTGGTGAATTTACCCTAGCTCCCTGGTCTTCGTGCGATGAATGCGATGATATCGAATCTTGCGAATGGCTTCGCGATTTCGGCGGTGAGCGGTCATCAGGGTTCTGAGAAGTACTACGGCTGCGGGATCCGCTCCTGCCACCTGCTCGGCGTATTTTAGGTACTTCCCAATCGGCGCCCATGGCTTTCAGAGCCTTGAAAATAGCAAGCATAGCCTCTGCAGGCTGGTTCCTCGACCTTATACCGAACTGCCACTTGGTCGCTCGAGGCTTCTTGGCTGGCAGACTCGTCATAGGCTCGGGCTTGTTTCTGCCTGCTTCTGGCATCGTGCGGAAGTTTGGCTTCAGCCTTCTCGCTGAGATCTGCCTTTGTTCTTCAGTCTGTTCTGGAGTTGGTGGGAGACCATCATTGTCTTGGACCCTGCTGAGTGGTCTCGGGTGACCTTTCATGTAGGCTTTGTGGTATTCTGTGAGACTGCTTGGCAAGATAGCGACTGTGCTCACAGGACTTCTTATATTTGCGAGTTGGCTGCTGGCGTTCGATCCTTGACGTGCCCGTTCGTGTTCCGAGTTCGATGGCGGTATGAATTGGGGTCGAGAAGCAGCGTTCAAGGACTGAGGCCGGAATCGGTCCATATGACTGTCGTGCGTAGGAGGCGACATTTGATCCCATTCAGGACCCGTCAACAAGGCTAGAACCGATTGTTAGCCGCGTACAAGTTAACAGAGAGGGTGGCTTACGATTCTTCCGCATCATCTCGTTCTCGCGAACGATCAAGTAGGCATCCTTTATCGCACTAGGCTCATCGCGTGCCAATGCATCTTGCACGTCATGCTTTGCGTAACCCATAGTCTTGCCGAGCTTCGACACGACATTCTCGTGCAGCGCCTGTACACGAGGAGCATCGGCCGACGGCGCGAGTGCCTTAGGATCGATCGCCTTATTCGGATCCGCCCCACTGTCGAAGAAATCCTGGGCAGGTGGTTCGAGATACGGAGGCAGGTCTTTGGTGAACCAGGGATCTTGCCGTAGTTCGGGGATCGTGATGCGGTGTACGGGGTTGACCATCAACATCTTCCTGATCAAAGACGTAGCGCCCGGGGATAGATAGCTTGGGGTGCTGTACTGCCCAGCAGCGATCTTTTTGAACAGCGTCGGAATATACTCGTCGTCGAAGGGTAGTCGGCCCACTAGGAGAACGTAGAGGATGACACCACAACTCCAGACGTCGACTTCTGGACCCGCATACAACTTTCCGGATATAACTTCGGGCGCGGCGTAGTTTGGACTTCCGCAGCT